ATGGAAGGAGTAGAAGAGGAAGAGCGGCTTGAGGCGGTCGTGCTCCCTGATGATCCTCAGAGCATACCTGGAAGAAAAGTCAGGCATGTCTAAACCCCTTTCGACCCTAGTCAAGGGTTTTGTTTTGAAGCTTAGTATAGAGTTTGGGCTCGAGGTCCGAAGGTTCAGGCAGTCAGAGTTTTTCATGGTCTAGCGTCCGTTCCTAACACAGGCTGGGATGCTGGTTGAACATGGCCTCTTCGAAGCATTCGTCGGGAAGACAGTAGTCGGGATCATCCTTGTTGCAACCGGTAGCATTGACCTGCGCAGGGTGTGGTCTAGTTGTATAGGGCTCAAGAACTTAACCTTCAAGCTTCGAGACTTGGCTGCAGCTGCAAATGCTACGTGCACTATTCCTGACTTTTCCACTTCCATGCGAACCCGACATCACAGCTGCCATAGCTCATAGCTCTGCAAGTGCACTTTCAGACACGGGACTTGCTATGATCACATGTCTGCGGATGTAATTGAAAAAGCACACAGGCAAGCACTACGACACGACGATTTCCATCTTCTCTTCTACTGTCAACGGAAAAAAGAGAAGAATCTGCTTGGGTTGGGAACAGTCATTTTCTCGCCTGCGGCTTGATCCCAGTTGTCTGTTTGTGCTTCACGCTGGCGTTGCATCCCAGCTCGCGAGCCACAGCTTCTGTGACACCCGCCCGGTAAGTTCCGTTGTAGAGGGAGAAGTCTCGGAACTTATTCCTTCAGCGCCCAGGCTTCCGTGTAAAATGAGTCTAGACCTTCCTAGACACACCCTGATAAGAACATTCAAACAAAGATCTCCTAGCAAAGCCAAGGCTCAAGCAAATGTCAACGTTGCCTGTGGATGTGAAGGGCATGCTTTCTTGCCAGTAGTCATTGGCATGCTGGAAGTACCCCAGCCAGGAATCGTAGCCCTTACCCAGCGGAGTGTGTAAGGGCGTGGCCATCCCTGCGTCCCATTTGCCCACCTGTACAGGACTAGGGTTTCGAATCTATAGGGCTGAAAATTTGGGATTTAAGGCTTAGGAGTTTGGGGACATTACACGGTTTAGGGCTCGAAAGCCAAAGTTGACGAAATTTTTTCAACTCCGCACCAGGTGCGTCCGGTAGCCGGCATCTTGCATCTTCTCCGCAAGGCCCGTCATGTTCGCTGGAACACCGGCAAAGCCTGACACGTTGTCCTCCGGGGATCAGCACATTGGAGTCCTCACGCCCTGATACATTGATACCCGGAAACGCTGGGACAGTCATCTGGGCTACTCTTTGGGCTTCACAGAACCCAGAGCGACAGAAGGGACGCCAAGGTTTAGGGTTCAGGCTAGGTTGTTCTCAAGGGCTCTTTAACTTCAGGAGCAAGATTGAAAAACCTCAGTTTTTGGTTGGATCTGGTCCTGCAGCCGTTCTCCCCAAATCCACTATGTTGTCGAAACCCAAGCTGTTGAACCCTAAGCCCTAAACCCAGTAAACCTCTGGACCTAGAAACCTGACCCACCCTCCTTCCGTGTGACTCTTTCAGATTTTGCTGAGATTCTAGATCCTGGACCGAAGGGTCCCGCAAAGGTCGCGATTCTACCGATGAACTTACGTGGAGCCCTCAAGGGGGCAATCAGGAACTCCTGCTCCCGTAAAAGAAGGCTGGATGAGCTTCCTTGTGAGTTCGTTGGGGGGCAATCCGAAGGCCTAACCGCAAACCCTTAGTCCTAATAAATTCAGAGTTTAGGGTTTGTTTGGAGGGTTTTTGGTTGAGGGTGTCGCATTCCTGCCTATTTCCTCTCTACATACATGTAACCCCAATACATTTCCTATGTGTCCTCCGGGTTCCAGAACGTCACGCCAGTGTTTACCGCGTTCACGTGCACCGCCAATCGCCCACTTTGAAGGGAAGACCTCTGAAATTTCAAGCGGAAACGGCTTGGGCTTGAGGGTTTTGGGGCTGAGCAGTAGGCTGTTGGAATGCTGTGGGTAAGGTTGAGGGCAAGTTTAGGGGTTGGAGTCTACGGCTTCGTATGTTCCGGGCTGTTAGGGCTCATGGTTTGGGGTTTGGGTCTTGAGGTATAGAGCAGCTTTCTAACATGATGGGTTACTGTGGCTCTGATGCTTCGGAAGACTCTCGGGCCGGACCGTGACGTCGACACACAAGACGAACAGGATGCCAACAGACAAGATGCGCCAAAGGCGGTCATTGCCGGGAAAGACAATGCTCCCCTGATGCATTCCGCTACTGTTGGATCAAAAGTATAGAATCTATACATACAGACATATATATATATATATATGTTTACACACAAATAGCCCTTAATAGTACCTTCATTTTAGACTGTCACTGGGAGGGGGCTGGAGTGTACCCGAGCCCTAATTAAGGCTGATTAGGTTCTTTGCCCGGGATGAC